TCAGTGTGAGCCCAGCTTGAGGCCACCTGGGCTTTTAACAATTAGTAACTTCTGTCTGCCTTGTGAAGTTCAGGGATAAAAAAAAACCCCAATAGTTACATATGAATGTAATTTAGAGAAGCAGGGAAAGAGGATGAGTGCTTTTGGTTTTAACCCCATATATTCTGGGTTTAATGTAGGGGAACTGATATCAGGGCTGGTATCAGAAGGACAAAACAAACTTCTCGGTGGTTACCCCTGAGGAGGAGAGTAAAATTGGGGAAGAGAGCACATTAAGTGTCACTTTCATTTTTACCTCATTTTTTCCCCTGAATTACCTCACTTATTTAACAGCAAGAATATATTATAGCTCATGTGAGTATTTTCAAACAAAAAATTATTTAAAGCAACAACAAAATATTGGTGAGACAGACAAGGACTGAATCTCTGGATGGTTCTGGGCTCTGCTCATACTCCCACTGATGGCTCCAAACTTCCTCTTGTCTCCAAAAGCATGGCACTAATTTAAAAAAAAACAACAGTATTTCTATTTCCTTTTCAAAAGTAAGGTTTCTTTTTGGTATTTCCTTTTATTTTTCTAGTAGGTTCTGACTAGTTTGCATGTGAATGAAAGCACGAGTTCAGTTTTTATAATTGACTTGTAAATCTTAGAGATGTTAATTTGCTAGCTCTGCTAGAAAATTCCTTTGGCTCCCAAAAGTTGTGCAATGGCCTTCATCAGGATTTTTAGAAGACAAAGACGACTACATTCTGCAAAGTCTAGAAATTACCTTCAGAAGTCAGCATTCAGAACTATAAATATCTAAGATGGAAAGAGCTAAACATAACCCGGTCCAATTACCTCACTTACGGTTGAGGAAACAGAGGAGGTTTAGGGAAGTGAAGTGGCCTGACAGCTAGCAACTGTCAGACTGAAACCAAAACCTGGATTTCCTTCCTCCTTGACCAGTATCCTCCTCATAACACATCACGGTTTCTTTTAAAACTTGAAAATTTTGTAAGTTTGGGGGAAGTCTAAGTGTGTTCTGATGTGAGATAACAAAGTAGGGCATTTATAAGTCATCCTAGCAGATAGCATCAAATTTCTGGAAAGCTCTTGTATATCAATAGGCTACATTATTTTAATGACCGTAGCCAAAGCAAACAGGCTGTGGCTTAGGGTTACACCACAGAATCGATTTCAGTTCCTTGTACTTTTCTTCCCTTGTGTCCATCTATCTCTTCCTGTTTTTTGCAGTTGTTTTCTCCCTGCCCCATGACTGCCTTTGTATGTGTCACTGCAGGCGTGTCTGTTTCCAGACCTCTGTGTGTGTGTCTTGTTTGAGGGCATTTTTCATCTATGGTTGAGACTTGGTGTCTGTGAACCTGGCTATCTTTCTTAGTATTTTTTACTTTCCCAGCATCTGTGCCCTCCTTAGCTTTTCCCCATTGGTTCTTCTTTACCTTCTGCCCCCATTTAACGTCTTCATGTCTCACTCTCTGCCTCCTCTCCCTTTTCTTTTATACTGCCAATTTCCTTTCCTATTTCTTTTCCTCACTTTACTAGACATGCAACAGTGAATATTTTTTATTAAGTGATTTTGATATCTATTGTATTTATAGTTCCGAGGTTACTTTACTATATTTTGTTATTAAAATGAATAAGTAGAATATTTTCTTAAGAGACAATTAAATTTCTTTTTGCCTCTCTGTGGGCCTTAATTGATCATTTCTTTGTGGACCACTGATGCTTAACAAAAAAACATGAGGGAGTCATCTTTCTTCCCTTAAGGACGTTAAGACAGAATTGTTTAACCAGAGGGGATCTTAGCAAACACGCAGTCCACCTTCTCATTTCATGGATGTAGAGACTGAGATCTGGTCAGATTCAGTGACTTGCTCAGGGTCGCATAGCCAAGTCCAGAGCTCCTGGCCTCCAGGTCAGTGTTCTTTCTTCTTCATTAAATGCCAAGTTTTCCCTCCTATTAATTAGTAGCTCCTTTCAGAAAGAGAGTTTCTTACCCCTGTAGTAGGTACCCAGTAAATACCTATGTGTCCATTAGGATGCCTTTGGTTGCAAGTAACAATCCCAGATGTAAACAGGGTTAACCCAAAACAAAATATATCTCAAATTATAAGAAATCTGGATTGGTTGCTTCGGAAGCTCAGTAATGTCACCAAGGCCACATTGTACCCCTCCCCTCTTTCCTCTCTGCCCTCCTTGACATTTTGGCTTTGGCCTCAGGCTGGCCACCCTCAAAGTCTTAAAAATAGCTGCCAGCAGAACTTGAGACAAAATGAGTCCAGTGGAAAAGACCGACACTCTCTCCCAAACACGACATGTAAAAGCCATTCCTTTCTGCCTGATTAGACCTATTTTGGACAGTGTCCCTTCTTCTCCCACCTAACCAATAAAAGCCAGGGGAATGCTACCCCTGAGTGGCTTAGACAAATCAAGATCCACCTCTGTATATGGGATGGAGTGGATTCCTGAATAAAATCAGAACTGTATTAGGAAGAAGGGAGGGGGCTGGCTATCGGGTAGTACTACCCTCTCTTGTACATTGTATTGTATTTGTTAAGTCAACTGAGTCATAGCAATTTTTGAGTTGCAAAGAACTCAGAGGTTACTATGGATTCAAGGTCAAGAAGTCCTTGTTTTTACATAGCTCAGCATTGCACTTTAGCCCTGAGCTAAGATGGTGTCATGAAATACACTGTTTCTTGGCTGTTATAATCTTACCCAAACTCTTGGGTCTGGGAGGAGATTGATGGGTAATGTCTTTCTAGCTTTTTTCTTTCCAGTTATACCAACTACCTCCCTTCTTCCTGTGACTGGCCTTGAATAGGATGAAAATTCTTTACGTCCCTCTATTTTATGGTCTCCCATACATGTCTAACAGGCCCTATCTATTTTAAGGATTTCACTTTAATCACTACAACCTCAAAATATCAGGAAATCCTCAAAAAGTTACTAGAGTAGCTAGCTGTGGTAGTGATAAAAAAAGGCTGCAAATTCTTTGACACTCTCTCCATCAAGAGATGGGATCTACATCCCCTACCCTCGAATCTGGGTGGGCTTATAACTGTCTGACAAGTAGAGTTCAGTGGAAAGTGAAGCCATTCATCATAATGGCCATTAAACAAATTCAATGAGTTTCACTTAAAACAAAACAAAATCTCCCTTTCTTTCCTTGATCACCTCTAGTTACCTTTTTTTTTTTAAAGATTTTATTTATTTATTTTCCCCCCAAAGCCCCAGTAGATAGTTGTCTGTCATAGCTGCACATCCTTCTAGTTGCTGTATGTGAGACGCGGCCTCAGCAGCGGTGCATCAGTGCGGTCCCGGGATCCAAACCCCGGCTGCCAGCAGCGGAGCGTGCGCACTTAACCGCTAAGCCAGGGGGCCGGCCCCTCTAGTTACCGTCTGATCTCCTTTCCTATGGTATCACTCAGGACTCTTGATTATAAGCAGCTGTATCAGGATCTGGATACATTAAGTAAAGGAAAGGAATTTATTGGATTCCTTTAAATCCGATAGGTCAGCCTATCCCACTGCTGTGATGTCTGGGACCCAACCATCCCTTATAAGTGAATCTCCCTTATAAGTGAATCTCCCTTATAAGTGAATCTCCCTTATAAGTGAATAAGTGTCGCTTATTCAGGATTCAACATCCCAGAAGAGACAAATTGGCCAAACCGAGATCACAGCCTGCTCTTTGGCTTCCTGTATGAGTCAGCTCAGTGTGCCGTAACAAAGTACCACAGACTGGGTGGCTTAAATAATAGAAATTTATTTTCTCACAGTTCTGGAGAATGGCTGCCTGGTTCGTTTCCATTGTCCATCCTAATCAGACATCTAATCCAAGAGCCTGTTGGCTGCTGCAAGAAAATGTGTAGGGCGTGGATGGATGTGAATGGGGGATGATCAATTAACTCTACCCAAAAGCAAAACAAAACAAAAATTGAAAGCTGAGAAAGTGGTTTTTATATGACTCTGGAGTGGAAAGGGGCGTCGGTCCAAAGCGGTGGACAGCAGGCACCTGTGCCGGCCCCTGCCTCCACTCTACCCCTGCCAAACATCACTTGCCCACATCTGTCTACTGCTTACCTCCTGGGCTTTTCCAATTGAGACCTGTCCCAGGGGTCCAGGAACCCGCTGGGGGAGTGGCACTGCCAAGCAGAGTTATTTGATTTTCTATCTGAGACCTGGAGTGATGTGAGAAGTTAACAAGGTGGGGGTGAGTATGTGCGTGTATGTGTTGGTGGGGGAGGGGAGATCTAGGGAAAGGAGAAGAGGTTAACAAGCTTATCACTTCCTGGTCACTGCACCTCCACCTTTTCCAGCAAGGAGCCCTGGAACCCTGGCTACTAGGTTCACAGACCAGCCCAAGCCCAGTGGGTCCCTGACGCACCCAAGCTAACCTGAGATACTGTGGCTCAGTATAGCCCTGGGAACACTGGGGTGAAGGTAAAGAGCAGCTGTCCTCACCTCGCTGTGGCCCCCTCTCCTCCACTCCACCTTTTCTGCATTCCTTTCTTTTTTTATTGCGGTAACATTGGTTTATAACATTATATAAATTTCAGGTGTACATCATTATATTTCGATTTCTTTGTAGATTACATCATGTTCACCACCCAAAGACTAATTGCAATCCATCACCATGCACATGTGCCTAATCCATGTTCCTTTCAACCTTTCCGTGGTATCTCCTCCTCCCAGGGCCCATTTCTCTCCCATTGCCTGGGTTTGTTTTAACAGAGGATGTGAATCTCATGATCAAATTCACACTCAGAAGTTAGCAGCTCCTGTAGTTTACAGATCCCAGGGGCATATGCATTTTGAATTTTGAAAGAAAATGCTGGCGTAGATAATATTGGGGTGAGGGACACTTCTAGGGGCTTGAAGATTTAAATGACTACTTTCTGTATGTAGGCAGGCCCGGGCTGGATAGAAATGGGGCTGGGCCAGGGAGGAGAGTGAGAAGTTCTGAGGCAGAACGAGAGACCCCTCAGGGAATGCCCTCCCTCTTGAGTCTCATCCCCAGGGTCATGCTATCCCATTCTTGGCACTGAGTGGATCCAAACTCACGAGGTGGAAGAAAATGTCCTGAGACTTCTGAGGGTGCTCCTGACAGACTCCGTCACCAGATGCTCCGCTGCATACCTACATGGAGCAAAGGGGGCATATCCACCTCAGATTCTCTTCAGGCTCTTTCCCTCCTCTTCCTGCCCTATACGGGGCTCACTTGTCAGAGTTCAGATTCAAGAATCAGATGACTCTCCGAAAAAGGAACCTGGTGATTAATGGGCTGGGGTGTTAGAGAAAAGGCTGTTGACTTCCTCTCTTCAAATCAGTCCCTTGAGTGCTCCGGATATCTGTGGTGACTTATCCACTCTCGTGCAGCAGCATGTGGCAGCTGCTGCCACCAACGGCTTTGCTACTTCTAGGTAAGTCAGAATCACCATGGCTGAAGGAGAAGCTCAAGATGCCTGGGTTCAGCAGAGACCCATTTTCAGGCCAAGGATGAGACCCTCTACCAAGGGATAGGACCCATTCCCACTTCTATAGCCCTAGATTTAGCTCCTAGGACAAACCATTGGGGACTAGAGATGAGGAGAAGGCTGGCTCTGATTTGGGCATAATGAAGAGGTGAAGGGGGACTGTGAGGTCTCCATTACTTCACCCCTCTGGGTCTCAGTTTCCCTATCTGTAAATTGAAGAGTATGGACTAGGTGGTCCCCAAGGTCTGACACACCAGGGCTCCCCTCTAAGACTTTTGATTTCTACTCTTTCTGGGGAGCTTGGTTTGAGGTTGCTTCTATGGCTTGATTCAGGGAAATTCGATTTGTACCCTTAACTTGGGAGTTTGAACAGGGACCAAGGAGCAAGGGAATGGTGTTGAAAGCAGGGATTTGGGTGGACAGTGGGCAAGAGGCAGAGACATTGGAGACCAGAGGGCAGGCAGCAGGAGAGCTATCCAGTATTTATGTCTTGATTCTTGGGAACACTGGACTCCCAGAGCAGGGTGGGCAGGGGATTTTAAACTCACTCCACACTCCAGTCACCTTGATCTCTGCTTCTGCTCAATATTTGTTTCACTCTTTTTTCTTGCAGTTTCATCTGGCACACGAGCTGGTGAGTTTGCTTCATGGTCTTGGATTAACCAAGTGAGGCACGTAGGGTGCAACAGCCACAGGGTGTTGGGAAATGTCCGTTGCATGGGAAACTGCTGATGGGGGTGGTTCAGGGACAGTTCCTCCAACACAGTGGATCTTGGCACTACGTTTCTCTGGCCAATTTTTCTCAAGATAAAGAGAGGCCAAAAATGGGGCCAAGTGCCTCCAAGCCAAGATGCTCTAAGACTGAGTCACCAACTGTGGGTTTACAATGGGCTCACTCCGGCTTTGAGCCTCCCTGGGTATGTCAGCGTGGGGTCTGCTCATCTCCTTGTCCTCATCCACATTCTCTTGGCTCTCAGCAGATCCCTCCAAGGCTGTGGTGAGCCTAGACCCTCAATGGAACAGGGTGCTCAGGAATGACAAGGTGACTCTGAAGTGCCAGGGGACTTACCCCCTTGGGGACAATTCCACACAGTGGCTTCACAATGGAAAGTTCATCTCAAACCAATCCCCCAGCTACCTCATTGCGGCTGCCAGAATTGAGGACAGTGGAGAGTACAGGTGCCGGACAGGCCTCTCTGCGCTCAGTGACCCGGTGCAGCTAGAAGTCCACACAGGTGAGTAGGTGAGGGGGAAGAGGGAAATCACCAATAAAAGGTGAAACAAGAAGCCCTGAAAGACTTGGGAAGACACAGAAGATGATGTACTTGGGGGTTAAAACTAAGATGAGATAATTTTTGGTCCCAATGAATTATATCAAAGTTGTAGTCCTAGTCACAAGTAAGCCTTAGGCAAAATGTCAAAGCCTGGCATATAATAGATACAGGACTGCTGCACACTGCACAATTCCAGGAATCACCATTCACATAGAACACATGCAACACCAGTGGTGTCATCTGATGGTCAGGGCATGACATTGATGCTCAATAATATTTGTTGAATAAATTAATCTGTTTTTAGGACCTCAATCTCCTTCTCACTCTCAGACATGCAATGCCCTAAGCTACCCCCTTAACTATCCCTAATCACCTAATGTCATGTCTATCTCTCTCTCCCCATCAATGCTACACTCAAACTTACACTTCAGCATAAATTTGGCAATGTGATATCTCTCCTAATAGAGATATATACATGTTCAGCCTGCACATTAATCATGGAGTGAAAGTCTATGTGTATTGTTAACAGAATCCAGGCATCAGACACAGGTAGGAGAAGTATTTTGGAGGCAAGGATTGTTCCTGACGTCCCTGGAATCACACCACACAGCCTGGTACCTGCAGTGTCACCTTGCAAGCCTGACTCTACTTCCATGGCTGCCCCATTTGTACAATACACATGGGTGGAACAAACCTAGAGGGGAACGAGGGCCTAACGGAGGTGGACCTGCAACAGAGTTTCATAGAATTGGGCCTCTGAAGCTGACTTTTCTGTGGCTCCTTTGCCTCTGACTGTGCCACTTAGCTGACATGGTCCTCACTCTACAGAGTTACAAAGAAGAAAGTCTATTACCTAGGTAGGTGAGAGATGGCCACCTAAGACCAAATAAAATGGAGAATTACCAACAGAAAGCAATAGAAAAATCAAGTCTAAGAGTTATTAGTTTGCCTTGAACTTTGCTCTAGAAACCGGCTTTAGAAGTCCACTCAATGAGGACTGTATTAAACTGTGACCATGGACATTAACTTCACCAGGCAAACTCCTGATCATCCTTTAGGACCCATTTCACTTATCTTCTCCTCTGAGAAGCTTTCTTTACTTTCTTTAGGCAGAATTTTTTGTTCCATTCTCTTTGGCCCTGTAGTTCTTTGTTCTCAGCCTGTTGTAGCACTTATTACATCTTATTGTAATTATTTCTGAGTATGTGTGTTTCTATGTCTAGACTACAGATTCTTTGAGATTAGGGATCATGTCTTAGTCATCTGGGTATCCCCATTCTGCACAACACTTGGAACATGGTCAGTGCTCAGTAAAACGTTTATTGAATGAATGTACATATGGACATTCATCACGTCCAGGACAGAACAGATTCGAACAAGAGTGTTCCCCCAAAGGCTACCAGACATGTATATATAATCTTATAACCATAATCTTATGCTAATAAATGATTCATCTCTCTGCTGAAAAAGTAAGTGGATATATAGGCACATGGCTTTTTTTTGGTAAATGGCATCTCCTAAGTTACCTTCTGTTTGGCAAATCTTCCTGGTAGAGAATTTTCCTGTTCTACCAATTTTATTTAGCATAAGGTAGTAGACTTTTTAAATTATAGTAAGTTTTATTGTTTTGTTCTTATTACAAAAGTCATTTGGGTTCAATTTCAAAAATATATAAAAGTAAAGGGAGAAAATTAAAATGACCTGTAGTCTTATCCCCCAGAGAAAACCCCTGTTAATATTTAAGTGCATGATCTTTCTTTTTTTTTCCTGCACATACATACTTTTTGTTTTCTGTGTTTTTAGCTTAACATTGCCTCATGAATGTTTTCTCATGTCATTTTAAAACTTATCTGCAATATCATTTTTAATTATTCAGGTCAACCTCCTGATCATGACTTCATGTTCTCTCTGTGTGGAGTCTGATTTCTTGGCGAGACAGTTGTGAGAACAAGTATCCTGGTGATATAAGAATTTTCTCTCTTGAAGGCAATGCTCAGTAAGGAAGATGGCCTCGCTGAGGCCCTGTGGCCCTTCAGAAACCACCAGTTTCCATGAGCACTACTAGGCGTGCCTTTCTTTCCCCTCCTTGACATCTATATTGAGTTCTCCTTCATGATTTCTGTAGCCAGTCCTGTGGCCATCCAATGACCTTATTCCTGCCTGGCTGCAAGAGTCTTTCAATATTCCTACAACTGCCTATTCCTTCTGAAGTCTGTCTTTTCTTTAACAGGGCAAATTATCATTTTCAAATGCAATTTTTAGTCTTTGATCTAGAACTTACTGTGGCTCCTTATTTTCTGCCATAGCAAATCCAAGTGTAGCACTTAAGGATTCTGCAGATTGTGTCTCACCTACCTCATCACTTAATCACTCTGCTCTAACCTTATGTTTTGCTCATGTGTGTGTCTGTCCCTCTTCTTCATTAGACAAAAGGTCTTGATGTGACTTGAATTCTCTTGCAAGGCCCAGTTGACTTTTTCCCACAGGGAGCAATGTGGGGATGGCTTCCAGTCTGGCTTTCTGTTATGCCCTAGGATCTGGGTGGTGAGTGTCCCCTTCACAAGGATCGCTGAGGCCTCCTGGGCCTGTGGTCTCTTTGTGCCTTTCAGACTGGCTGTTGCTCCAGGCCACTCGGTGGGTGTTCCAGGAGGGGGAGCCCATTCGGCTGAGGTGCCACAGCTGGAAGAACACCCCTGTGCATAACGTCCAATATTTCCAGGATGGCAGAGGCAAGAAGTTTTTTCATGAGAATTCTGACTTCTACATTCCAAATGCAACACGAGAACACAGTGGCTCCTACTTTTGCAGGGGGCTTATCGGGAGAAAAAATGAGTCTTCAACGGCTGTGAATATCATCATTCGAGGTAAGAGATGCACAGCCCTAGAGGGCTCAGAGTCCCCTGTGTGTGGAATCTGCATTCCCACTAGCTGGGAGGACATTCCTAACTATTCCACAGACTTCTTTACATGGGTTCTGAGAGGTGTCATTCAGTCTGCAATGTGACAGTGGGAGCAGAAGCCATATTTCCTCGCCCATAAATATGCCTGTCCTTATTTACCCCATTCAAGCCACACCCACAGTGTTATGTGTCCCTATCACGCTGGCCCATCTTTACCTGCCCTCCTTTCCTCTCCAAACCTTGAGTCTTAGCCAACAGACAACCTGGCAGGAGCCCCTCACTCCCTCACAAAAAGGGCCCAGAACCTGGGTTCTGGGTTTGCTACTAATTAACCGTGTCACTGTGGGTAAGCCATTCAGTCTCTCTGAACCTCAATTTCCTCTTCTGTAACAAAGGCAAGCCGACATTTATTGGCACTTTTCAGTGTGCTAGACACTGTGCTAAGTGCTTCTTTAAATGCACCTAGTTTCATGACCATTGTGACCCCTCACAACAACAATATGAAATATTGACTTTACAGATGAAGTAACTGAATTAAAAAAAAAGAGGGTAATTAATTTGTTCCTAAGGTCGCATCAAAGATTCAAAGCCTGTATATTTAACTACTAGATAAAATGAACGAATTGAACAGGCATCAATGTCCTATGATAGAGTTTTGAATCCCATTAAGTCACCTGGAAAACATCTCCAGTTTATGAAGTGCCATGCTCCAGGGTCAGATGTCCATTACCAAAGTGCTCCTGGACTTCCTGATTTCACAAAACTTCCACCTGTGACCAGACCAAGACGTACATCATAAGGAATTTACATGTAAGACAGCAAGATAGACACATACCTTTTGAGATGTTAACAAAACAATGCCACAATTTGGATAAAAAATAATTTCATTACAATTTAAATTGAAAGTAAATACTCTCAAATGGTTAGAGAAAAAGAGCAAATAATGAAACAAAGGGGGCAAAACGCAAACAGTAAATCTAGGAAAAAATGTATGAGAGTTATTTATACTATTCTGGTAACATTTTGTTTAAGTTTGAAATTAAATCAAAATTAAGAATTAACAAATTGAAACTAAAAATCTACTCTAATGTTACCAGTTTATAGACAACAGCAAAGAATGACTGTAAAATAACAATAATAAGGGCTAAGAGGTTGAGAACAAACAAATTCTACCTCTTTCCCTTTTGGGTTATTAGTCACTGGGCCTCAGTAAAGAAATATTATCACTTTTCTGCCGGTAAGTAGCAAATTTCAATGGTTCACTTTTTTTTTTAGATTTCCTTTAGTGATAATGAACAATACCAGGTGAAAACAATAAGCATGATGTTGAGACACAAGAGAAAGTTACTGAATTAAGAAAAAAGGTTCTCATACCAACTTAAACTTCGACAAATTTCATAATTTCACACAAAACTCAGTTACAACATAACTTACTCAACACTCCCTGTCACATACCTCTATCAAACGTGAAGATGGTTTTGCTAGGTGTTTGATGAGCTGTGCTCTGCTCTGGTAGCACTAAGATCAGGACTCGGTGGGAGGAAGTAAAGGCTTTCTACCAACGCCCCCACCATTCCTTAGAACCTCTCTCTTGCCAGGTGTCAGAAAGACTCTCCACTGATGACTTTGCTGTTAATCTAAATTTCTGCCTTAATAACTGTCATTTTTCTCATCCCTTGGCTTGTTCTATTAGGTCCAGCAATTCCATCCATCTCACCACCCTCTCTACCTTGGCACCAAATCACTTTCTGCCTGCTAATGGGACTCCTGTTTGCAGTGGACACGGGGCTGTACTTCTCCGTGCAGAGAGACCTTCGAAGCTCAAAGGGAGACTGAAGAAATGGCAAAGTCACATGGAGCCAGGGCTCTTAGGACAAATGTAATAAAAGCAGCATCTCTGCACCTCTCTCTGGATTCACAACCCTGTCATCCCCAACACGCATCTCTGGGAGCAGAAGGAAAACTACACCTCAGAGTCTATCCTGAGGGTCCTTCACCCAACTGCATTTTCTTTTAGTCTCCAATGGAAAGAAAGGGCCTGTGATCTTCAAGAGCCAACAGTGAAGCCCCACTGAGTAGCTGCATTACCAGGAATTGAAGTGTCAGAGCTACACAGATACTTTCTTTGTCCCAACCATTCATCACAGCAAAGCAACAATACAGACTCTGGATGGTGACCCTTGATGTATGAACATTGTTCTGAAATAACTGGAGAAGTAGGTAAGAAAATTAATGGTTGAGGGCCAGCTGGGTAGTTGTCTGCATCTACTGCTGCAAGGCTAGTTGCCTTCAAGGCACCCTAAAACTCTTTCCAGACAGACTGTGGGGACTGCTTGGGGTCTAAGGGAGACAGCAGAATGAATGAAGGGGGTGGCTGGGAAAGAGCAGGGTAGTCCAGGACAGACCAGAGGAGAAACCCGCCTAGGCTGTCTTCCTAGAACATGAGCCATGGTGGAGGTAAGAGAAGATCACAGGGGTGATGTAGAATTGAGTTTTTCAGGGGAGGCCTTGCCAGAATTGGGGTGGTCTGGGAGTCTATAATGATGAACCCTTTTAATGTCATGAGTAGAAAATGGTCCTAGGAAGAAGGCTGGAGATCGGGGGGATTTGGACAAGAAAGCGCAGAACAAACCCTGTGTCCATACGAAGGAAAGCAGCATTGCCATCCCAGATTAAGCTCAGTGAACAGAGATATGTCAGCGTCAGAACTGAGAAAGAATGACAAGAAAGAGTCAACCACAACTGCACAGGAAGGAACGGGCAGGAGGTGAGGACGCTTTTGTTGGCCAGGATAGTAAGAATGAGCGAGAGGAGGGGTGGGGACTATAAAACCTGTTTTTCCGCTTCAGTATCAAGTTCAGCTATAGCTTTGTTCATATTATTCATTAAACAAATGTTGGATAACCAACACTAAATGTACTACATTCCACCGAGTTAAATTATGAAACTTTGAAACCCCTCAGCATGTCAGTAACAATGGAGTGGGGATGGAGAAGTCAATTGTTGCTTGTGGAGGAAAACATTAGCACTATCTTTCTGTTTTAGAAGCTGTAAACAGATCATTTCTTGATTCCAATAAAGCATTTTACAAGATCTTGCATGCTACTCTCAGAACGTGGAAAAACCATGGTAATAAAACATGAATGACAAAATCCTCTTTTCCTCTCATTGTCTAAAACTGTATCAGGGATTAGTTTAGGTTGATGAAAAACCCCTCTCCTCTCAGCAACCTTCTCACCACAACTCACATGAATTAGTCAGCTTGCTAATTCACCAAATCTTGCTGAACCAATTGGTCAAAGGGGGACTTTTATAGGTGGTATGGGATAGCAGGGTGACTGGGAATTCCAAGTAGTTTAGAACATGGGGCAGGTAGGGGAAAGCACAGCTAGGAAGGAGGGAGGGGGCAGGGCAGAGGTGTAGGGTCAGACTGCGTCAATCATGAGCTATATGCCGAGATGATTCAAGCTTGGTGTAGGAATATTGGATGAGATTCAGACATGAGACAAGTGCATTTGGAAACCCCGAACATTCAACTCACATTTATTTAGGACCTGTGATGTGCCAAGCTTGAGTTTAGGTGCTGATATCAAGATGAACAACACAAGATCATTCATTGGAGGAGCTTTCATACTAGTGAGAAAAACCTGTAAATAAGATAGTGAAGAAACTGAGGAGAAGAGGCTTAGTTTTTGGCGTGGCAGTGAAGGATGTGTAGGAGTTTGCCAGGCAAAGAGGAGAAACGCTGAAGGTCTGTGAGCAAATATTGAAAAGCCAGAGAAGGGGTTCAAGAAAGTAGTTTGGTTCTGCTTGAGTCTAAAGAGGCGGTGAAGGCAAGGAGAGAGTTCAGGGGCCAGATCATGAAAGGCACTGCGTTCCAAAATAAGGAGACTGTAGCCGACACTGCAAGCCATTGAGGGATTTTAAGCATCAGTTTGCATTTTAGAAAGCCTCTCTGGCAGCTACTTGGAGGATGGAAGGGAGAGGAGAGCTGAAGACAGGAAACCGGCTAGGCGGCTAGGTAGTTGTTCCAGTAACCCAAGGGGGAAGTAATCTGGTAGTAAATGGCAGCGAGGCTGGAGAGGAAGGTGCCTATTCAGAAGATATTTAGAAGGCAGACTCTTCAAAAATTGGTAACCGGTAGGATGTGTAGCATGACTAGGGGCCCAGGTTCCAGACATGCCCGTTTCGCGAGTTACGAAATACAAGTACAAAAGCAAAGCAGGCACAGGTTTGGTAAAAGAATTCGTCTTTGGATTATTAGTACTTACTTCCTTCGGTCGGTAAATATTTTTAAAATATCAGTTTCATGAGTCATTTCAGCAGAACCCAAATCCAGCAGCTAGAAATTTCATTACTAATTGAAACCCTAATGACGCAGACCGACTGAATCGAAACTGCCAGCGAAGCACCCAGGGTGGACGCTGGCTGAGTGAGGAATTGAAAACCTCACAGTGTACGGCAAGAGGATTCCGGTGCGATTGATAGGTCTCAAGACACACAACGCCGGGGTAAAAACGCTTAGGTTGCCGTCCCTGGGTGGGCTCGAACCACCAACCTTTCGGTTAACAGCCGAACGCGCTAACCGATTGCGCCACAGAGACAGGCGGGGCGAAAGATCACCGCCAAGTCACTTCACTGAAGAATAAATTCTTAGTGCTCTCTACGTCTGCAAAAAACTGTGGTTGACACTGGCACAAGAAGCGGTGGTGTGGGTGTTGGCTTTCTGGGGTGTCTAAGGAAAGCCAAAGCAGAACCCAGAAGATGGCCACTTGTGGGAACTGCAGCCTCCACGCAACGTTGGTACCAAGAGAGTCAGGGAATAACAGAAAGAGCAGGCAGGCAATAATACGTCACACTGAAGGCGTCAGCCAGGTGTTGTGACCTTCGCTGGTACTGCTGGCCGTCCTGTGACAGGATGAAGGCTGTGAGGTGGACTGGAGCATAGGGGAAATTTGGGGGTAAAGGATGACTTAGGTGCAAATGTCCCTTTTTCCCACCCGTGTTGTATGTCAATTTCATCTTCATTTCATGAGACAAGTTTTTTTTTTTTTTTTTGAACCTCGGACATCCTCCCACCATGGTCATTAAGTTGGTTTTAGTAATAAGGAGGATAATTAATGCTTGCTCATTGCCAGGCACCATTCTAAACATTTATTAACTTATTCTAGAATTATAGTTATCATCACTATCCCCTACAGCAGATGAGGAAACAGAGACAAAGACAGCCAAGGTTCAAACACAGGAAGCACAACAGAGCCCATGCACTTAACCACCATATTAGGCTGCCTCATCCAGCCTGAATGATTGAGGTCAACCTAATTACATATGTCATTCCAATAACTGATTTTTGTATAATAGATATAACAGATACATAAAAGCCTCAGACAATATCTTAAAAGCTAGAAAAAAATTTTAATACAATCGCTGTTAGTTCAACAGATGATGACAAAGGATTCAGTATCATTAACACTGATCCTTTCCTAATTTTAGGAAAAAATTTTCTGCTTTGTGAGACAAGTCACCTAATGACTATCAATTTACTGGAAAGAAATTAGAGGAATTTGATGTAGTTCCCCATGTTAAACCAGGGCTCAGGTAGAGGCATCATTTAGCTAGTGACAGCTGTATCAAACAAAACCAACGATTATTAAAAATAAAATAATTTTAGAGATGATTAGAAAGATTTGACATAGTATTTGCACTACAACTTACATTACTTGGAAATCAGTTTTATAAGTTACATAAACACACACATATACATATACAGTTAAAGAATAATAGGAAATATTTGAAATATATATTCCTGTAACTGTTTTAAATCTTCTGAATACCATTCCTGGTGTTTCAACATAAATGAATCCCATAAAAATAATATTTAGTGAAAAAAATGCTAGTCGCAGAAGAATACATACTGCTTGATACCAGTTATATAAACTTTAAAAGCATGAAAATCTGAATAATATATTATATGATTATACATACACATGTAGTGAAACTATTGCAAAAGCCAAAGGAATAATAACCATAAAATCCAGAATAAGGGTTACTCATTACTGGGAGGGAGAGGAATGCATCAGAGAGAAGAATATAGGAGGCTTCTGTTCCTCTGTTCTGTTTCATTCTTAAGCAGAGTATTGAAATACAGGGATGCTCATTTTATTATTTTCTACATTTTATATTTGTGATGTGCTTATTTGTGTGAATTGTTTTGTTAAAATCTATTCTTTGTTGTTGCAAACTAGCCCTCCTGCTTAAGATCTGGGAGGAAAATTATAGCATTTAAGTGGACAATGGGGGAGAAGCAGAAAGAATTTATCTCTGTGTTTAAGGACAAACCCCAGATCTTTATAGATTATTTGGATTACTTCTCATTCAAGGATGAGCACAGTAGTGTTCTTAACTGCAAACAAGAGAATCTACTCTAGCTTGTTTAAATACAAAAGGATTTTTTGAGGGGTACAGATACTTGACGAGGCATTGACCGAAAACCGAAGAAACAGACTCAGGCTGACTTCCAGGAATAACCCCAAAACCACTCTGTATACTGGGCTACCACAGTATACACTGAACCTGCTACAAAACAAATTAAAAAGCTTCCACAATCTCCAATTCTAGAACAAACCTGCATAGGCCACTATTTATACCAGCAAAATTGTATCCTTGCCTCTCTCCCATGTCACTCAGTCCCAAATCAAAATCTCGCTCAAGTACATCTGGATGAAACCTAAATCATAAATAGAACCCCAGCTGCAGAGAAATCTAGAAAACGTAGTTTTTAGCTTGCCAGTTTCTACAGCACAGGAAAGCAGACCAGAATGACATTGGAATGGGTGTTGAGCAAGCCAATCCACATATCCACTGCAATGAGCAAACTGAAAAATAAAAATAAAATAAAGCCAAAACCAAATAACCTTCCCACCTCCACCCCCAATACCGGGCTGTTAGGGAGGAGATGAAATGATCTAAAGAACTAGGTAACAGGGGGCTACAGATGTGAGTATATTGTGATAAACTGCGGCAAGGGTCTGTGCATGTTTTTGTTCTTAAATGACAACCTGGGCCTGGGAGGTGGGGTGGGGGAGGGGTGACCAAGTCTTTGTTTTGGACTCCTCCTCCCAAATTCCTGTGGAAAAGATCCAAACAGTGTAACAGAGAAAAGTGTAGACCATCCCAATCATCCATAATATCTAAGAGAAAGCTTGCAATCTCCTGAGTTCATGATTAACATCTCATGATCCAAGGTGGGCCTGGAGTCAAAACTGTCTTGGAAATCAGAGTGGGGCATCACTCACTTAGTTGAATAGCAAAAAACATGAGCAGGAAATGACACAAGGGAAAGCAGAGCAAAAGAGTGTAAGCCGTTGACTCCCAATCATCCACAATATCCAAGAGGAAGCTTGACATCATCTGGTTTCACCATTGTCTCATGGATCCAAGCTGGGACTGGAGTCAAGAATGCCCAAGAGTTTTTGTTTGGTTTTGTTTGAGAGGGTGGATGGGTTAGTACCCATCAATAATGTCATTTCATATCAGTGATTGAGGGGTGGAATATTCAATAAACTGAATGGAGAACCACCATGTGGAGGGATGGGAATTGAGTTATAGACTTACCTCATGTTATATCTCAAAATAATTTCAAAAAGAATTAAAGAGATAATGCCAAAAACCAAAAACAAACATAAACTTAAAGAAAATAAAGGTAAAAACTGATCTGATATTGGGGTGGGAAAGACTTTTCTACATATAAAAAAAGTTAAGAAAGAAACTACCAGGGAAAATATCCGACTACATAGAAATTAGAAACTTCCTGAACTTCAAAAATACTATGAATAAAATTAAAAAGCAATTCCAGTTTCCATAATGGTTGAGTAGCTTGCACAGGACTAACCACTCTACAGATAACAATTATAAACTCAGGGCAAAATATTTTTTAAAAAAAATCTGTTTGAAGGTACTGGAAAGCAATCAAATCGGATAGAAACAAAGAGGATTCAAGCCTTGGAAGAAGGATCCACAATGGGTAAGACCCTCATTCTGAGGGCACTCACAAGTCAACCAGACTCAGGCATATAAAGGCATGCAGAAAACCA